CTGACCAGAAATCCCCAAATGATGAGATTACGCCCTTTAATAATAATAATAATAATAATCCTTGCATTTGATATAGCGCTTTTCACGTCGGGAGGACGTCCCAAAGCGCTTCACAGAACACACTGTAAAGTGAATTGACTGTATATTTGTGGGCGAACGCGGCAGCCGATTGCGCACAGCAATGTCCCACAAACAGTCGTGGATTGAAAATGACCAATTTATTATTGTTTTTTTGGAGGGATTATTATTAGGCTCTGTGTGGAGTAAGGAAACTTGCCCAAGGTTTCGCCCTCTGCCGGGGATTGAACTCAGATCTCTTGCTTGCAAAGCGAGTGCTCTAACCACTGAGCTACAGGACTCCACTCCTTTAATCCACTTCGCTTCAAGGCTGCCCGGGGAGAAGGTGGGTGGGGGGGGGGGGTTGGGCATTACTGTGCCCAAACAGGCTGTCGAGTTGTGGGGCGACAAAAATACACAGTCATTAACCTTTCTCAGTCAAGTCCTGTGAAGCGCTTTTGAGACGACCACCTGACGCGAAACTCTGGACGAAACGGACTGATAAGTTAAGTGGAATCCGGATCGAAACTCCTTTACCAAATGCTGATCCTTTCCTTTGTTTGATGGGGTGGTGCGGTGGAGGGGAGTTGAGGAAGAGAGAGAGAGAGGTCTTACTGTGAAATCCAATTAAAAACAAGTTTCCAAAACACAGACATAGCAGTGGAGTGGACATAGTGGGACAAATGGGCTCCCAACTGTGCCGTTACTGTTCCTATGCTTCCTTTGCTCTTGGATGGGGCCGACAACTGAGAAACTGCACGTTCCCAGCACCAGGGATCCAGCTTCAAAGTTGCTCTGCTGCTGCTCAAAGCCTTACGACATTCGAGTAACAGGTGCTGAAACACCATGAAACACAGTTGTCAGACTTATTTTTTTAGTCAGGCATGTGTCTCGCACACACGTGAACTGTGTGTCCTGCACATGGGTGTGTGCACGCACTCTCGCTCTCTCTCTCTCTCGCCCCCCCGCCACTTGCATAAGGACGCACCGAGCTTTCCCAATTCCCCCAAAGGTACTGTGTTAGACTTGGGTTTAAAGCTTGAGGGGACTCTTAAGAGTGCGCATTGGGGTAACTGCTGGAATTTCCAGGGCAAAATCTTATTGGTTTTGCCAGTAGAACAGTGATAATGGGGGACTTCAATTGTCCTGACATAGACTGGCAAAATAACAGCATAAAGGGCGAGGAAGGGGGAAGGATTCCTGAAATGTGTGCAGGATAACTTTCTGGCTCAGTATGTTTCTGGCCCAACGAGGAAGGAAGCAGTGCTGGATCTAGTTCTGGGGAATGAAGTGGGGCAACTAAGTAGGAACCTGGTTGTTAGTCGATTGGGGGTTCCCTTTTCCGGGGTTAATAATCCCTCTGTATNAAAAAATTGGCCGCTCAATCCACGACTGTTTGTGGGACACTGCAGTGCGCAATTTGGCTGCCACGTTTCGCCCCACAAAATACACGGTCACTACACTTTACAGTGTATTCTGTGAAGCTTGGAGGCGTCTCGCGACGTGATAAGGTGCTGTATCAGACACAAGGATTATTATTATTAATTATTATTATTATAAGCCGTGCAGCTTGCCATTGCAAACACTGACTGGCAAGCTTCTGCACACTACTGGTCGGTCTTTTGGCTTGTAGGGCTAACAGGAGCCGAGTCGGACTGTGTTGCAAATAAGATCATATAGATTAAAGCAGGATCTATGGATTGTACAAATAATTGCAGAGCACGTTCGAGGTCAGTAAACACATCGCTGACTTTTCAGACAGTGCTTATCAAGAACTCAAATTTGATTCCCAGTTTATGATTCACATCCTCTCACTGTGTCACCGCATTGAGAGCTTTCTCTCGCCCAGTAATCCAGCGCAGATGGAAGGGCAATAATCTTGCGATTAAGGCACAATCTTTCTGTCTGACCATCAGCTCAGTGGAGCAGCCTGGAGGCCAGCAACTGGGCAACGACAGGCAATGACACAGACAGACTAGCATTCCCGTGGCAATGTGGTGGGATGGAAGGAGGACAGCGACTGCCTGGAGCGAGCGAGTGAGAATCGATGGGAAATTGTGCGCAATTGGACGCCGAGCCCACAAATTACACAGTCACTACACTGTAAGGTGTATCTTGTGAGACGCTTTGAGACGTTTCAACAACGTGATGAGGTGCTATATCAAGTGCAAGGATTATTATTATTATTAAAACCATGGCTTGAGAGGAACATGAACAACAAATGACATTTGTGTAGCACCTTTCATGTCGGGCAAAGAGCAAGAGGACTGAGATTTGTTTTCCAAAGGAGATTAAATCACTGATGGTTGTGGAGCGCGTGAGATTGTCCTCGAGCAGATGTGATTGACGCAATGATTCCCTGCATGAAAGTTGGACCTTGTCCGAGCAAACACAACAGATAAGAGTCTTTTCTCTTTCTCAGCACCTGCAAATTGGAAGCCACAGCGAGATCATCTGCACAAATCTTTGGCTGAAATGAAGCCAAATTTTAAAGGGATTATTTTAAAGTTACAATCTCCCGATGGAGTCCCGTAGAGCGTAGGGGTTACAGGGCTTGACTCGAGAGGACCCGGGTTCGATACCCGGACAGGACAAAACCTCAGGCAACTTTCCTTACTCCACATGCCTCTGTTTACCTCGTAGTAAGTAGGAACCCGGTTGTTAGTCGATTGTTGGATCACTTTCCGGAGATAATAATTCCCCCCCCCTCCCAAATAAGAACAGTTTGGTCACTCAAACCACGACTGTTTGCGCAACACTGTTTGCGCAGAATCGGCTGCCGTGTTTGGCCCTCGAAATATACAGTCAATTCACTTCGGAGTATATCCAGTGAAGCTCTTTGAGACGTCTCGAGGATTTAACAAGGCGCTGTATCGAATGCAAGGACTATTATTATTATCATTTGATACCGTTATCTAAATACATCTGTAAGATCTGTGTTTTATTTTCTGAAACAACATTAACGGCCCTTACCTCTTAACCTTTTTCGGTCAGCCGGGTATCTGACACGCGGAAACCGATGCTTTAAGAGCATTCAACCCCGACTGAGAATTCCACATAGGTGTGACGCCTACGTATAGAAATTTGCGTCCGGAATGGAATGCGAACCCTCCCGCCGGAGCGATGCACACACACACGCGCGCACACGCCCTGCCCTGCCCTGTCTACCTAATTCGAAGGACAGGTTGGAGGGAGACGAGGCTTGGGGATACCAATGGGTTAAGTGCTGGGAATTTAACCAGCTGAAAACTGCGCAGCTTGTCATTGATACAGCACTGTCTGGCGAGCTTCCTGCTGGTTGTCCAGTCAGGATCACCCGAGCTGCTGCCCCTCCGCGCTCCGGCTTACGGGGTGAACCTAACGTGCAGCTCGAGAGGCTCTCGCTTTAGGCGTGAAGAGGTGCGTGTAGAAGGCCAGGTGCTGCGGAATAAACCGAGCGGCCCGGAAAATCCACATGTTTTAAGCAAGCGGCCAAGCAACACACACACAGCTCCCAGTGAGTACACACACATGCACACACAGCTCCCAGTGAGTACACACACACACGCACACACAGCTCCCAGTGATTACACACACACACACACAGCTCCCAGTGAGTACACACACACACACGCAGCTCCCAGTGAGTACACACACACACACACACAGCTCCCAGTGAGTACACACACACACACAGCTCCCAGTGAGTACACACACACACACAGCTCCCAGTGAGTACACACACACACACACACACACAGCTCCCAGTGAGTACACACACAGCTCCCAGTGAGTACGCACACACACACGCAGCTCCCAGTGAGTACACACACACAGCTCCCAGTGAGTACACACACACACACAGCTCCCAGTGAGTACACACACACACAGCTCCCAGTGAGTACACACACACACACACAGCTCCCAGTGAGTACACACACACACAGCTCCCAGTGAGTACACACACACGCACACACACAGCTCCCAGTGAGTACACACACACGCACACACACAGCTCCCAGTGAGTACACACACACACACACACACAGCTCCCAGTGAGTACACACACACACACACACAGCTCCCAGTGAGTACACACACACACACACACACAGCTCCCAGTGAGTACACACACACACACACACACAGCTCCCAGTGAGTACACACACACACACAGCTCCCAGTGAGTACACACACACACACACACACAGCTCCCAGTGAGTACACACACACACACACAGCTCCCAGTGAGTACGCACACACACGCAGCTCCCAGTGAGTACACACACACACAACTCCCAGTGAGTACACACACACACACAGCTCCCAGTTAGTACACACACACAGCTCCCAGTGAGTACACACACACAGCTCCCAGTGAGTACACACACACACAGCTCCCAGTGAGTACACACACACACACACAGCTCCCAGTGAGTACGCACACACACGCAGCTCCCAGTGAGTACACACACACAGCTCCCAGTGAGTACACACACACACACACAGCTCCCAGTGAGTACACACACACACAGCTCAGTGAGTACACACACACACACACACACACAGCTCCCAGTGAGTACACACACACACAGCTCCCAGTGAGTACACACACACGCACACACAGCTCCCAGTGAGTACACACACACACAGTCTCACAATTGCTCACACACACAAACATACACACACAGAGACAAACGCATAAACACAGTCACTCACACACACACAGTAACACACACAGACCTCCCAGTGAGTACACACACACACAGAGACACAGTCGCACACAAACAAAGTCACACATAGACACACACACACAGACACACACATAAACACAGTCACACACACAGTCACACACACACACGTCTCACACACACACAGACAGACACAGTCGCACACAAACAAAGTCACACACACAGACACACAGTGACACACACACACAGACACAGACACAGTCGGACACTCACTTGGAGAATATTTCAATCAACTTTCTCCTGTTTTTCAGGGGCTCCGAATCCTCCTCGAACTCCTCCATCTCTTTGCCCAGGAAGACCTCCTGGTAGAAGCCCTGGTTCAGGTGACCGTCCAGCTCCATCTTGACCCCGTTCAGGTGTTCCTTGGGCAGGATCTCGTTCTCGTCCCTCCTGACGTCGACCTTCTCCCTCTCCCTCCTCACGGCCGAGATGTTGGCCGGACGGCCGTCCAGGGCCGAGACGCAGAGCAGCAGGAGCAGGCAGCCGGCCAGCGCCGGCTTGACCGCCGCCATCCCTTCCTTCCCGAGACGCGGAGAGATGGGCGAGCGCTGAGATCCCCCTCCTCCTTCCTCCCTCGCTCCTTCCTCCTCCTCCTCCTCGCTCGACCGACCGACACAACCGCACGGATCGGAGGAGCAAGAAAATCCTCCGGCGAAATCACATCGCAGTCCTGTTTTTTTGGAGAGGGGGGGAAAAAAAAACAACTAGTTTAGTGGCGGGGGGAGGGCGGGGAGGGGGAGGGGGTGGGGGGAGGGCGGGGAGGGGGTGGGAGTTATTTCTTCTTTTTTTTCTTTCTTTCACCCCCTCACCCCCCAAAAAAGAAAGCCGCAGTTAGCAGAACCTGCCCTCCCTCCCCCCACCCCCCACCCCCCCTCGAGCCCATAGGACTTTTGTACCTTTAACGGCCCCTGGCGGAGGGCGGCGGGGGGGGCTGATGATGGGGGTAGCTGTGGTGGGGGTGGCGGTGGGGGGTGAAGAGCCTCCGACCGGCTTTGGCTCCGGCTGCGGTTCCCCTTTCAGCAGATCCCTGAACGGAAGAGGGCTGCAGACAGGAAGAAGGGGCGGGCGGGCGGGGGGAGGGAGGGAGGGAGAGGGGGGTGGGAGGAAGGTGGAGGATCGGGTGACGACACACGGGCTCGGAATGGCTGAGCAAGATGCAGCAGCCGCTGCCGGCCGAGCCCCTGGCCTCTGGCCGGCTGTCCCCCAGCCTGGACGGCCACTGCAGCTCGGCAGAGGCGGACCGTAGAGGGTCCTCGGCTTCGGAGCCTGGTTCACAATCATCATCGTCATCATTATCATCATCATCATCATCATCCACACAGAGCCTAATAATAATCCCTCCAAAAAAACAAAAACAATAATAAATTGGTCATTTTCAATCTATGACTGTTTGTGGGACATTGCTGTGCGCAATTGGCTGCCGCGTTCGCCCACAAATATACAGTCAATTCACTTTACAGTGTGTTCTGTGAAGCGCTTTGGGACGTCCTCCCGACGTGAACAGCGCTATATCAAATGCAAGGATTATTATTATTATTATTATCATAATCCTCGCGTTCGATACACGATACGGCGCCTTTTTCACGTCTTCTTGACGCCCCAAAGCGCTTCCGCGGAACGGACCGTCGAGTGAACCGGCCGTACGTTTGTGGGCGAAAGGCGGCGGCGGCGGCCGATTGCGCACAGCGGCGTCCCCACAAACGCAAGCGGCCGGGGGTTGAAACTGACCCCATTTGTTATCGGTTTTTTTTGTGGGGGAGGGATTATTATCAGGCGTGTGGAGTAAGGGAACTCGCCCGAGGTTTCCCCCCCCCGCCCCGCCGCCGGGAATCGATACCCGGGTCTCTCGCTCGCAAAGCGGGCGCTCCGACCACTGAGCTACAGGACTCCACATCGTCGTCGTCTTCTCCCTCGTCGCGTTTTGACCCGTGGGGGACCCCCCCCACCCACGCCTTCCAGACGTCTCGAAGCGCCTCCCGGGCTCGACTGCCTACACCCCCCACCACCGAGTCCATTCACTTTGCAGTCTGTCCCCTGAAGCGCTTTCCGAAGGGACGTCTGGAAAGACATGAAAAAAGCGCCGTGTCAAAGGCGAGGGTTGTCGTTGTTGTCGTCGTTGTATCGTTATATATTTTTGTGGGCCGATCGCGCACAGCGCCGTTCCACCCCCACACACACACACACACAAACAGCTGTGGATAATTCAGCCGCTAAATTATTCTTTTTTTTTCCTTGAGGGATTATCATCAGGCGCACGCGTGTGCGTGTGCGTGGAGTAAGGAAACTTGCCCGAGGTTTCACCCCCTGACCTGGCCGGGAATCGAACCCGGGTCCTCTCGCTTGCGAGGTGAGGGCTCTCTCTACTCTTGTGTATAATAATAGTAATAATCCTGATACGGATAATAATCCTGATAATTGATACGGAGCTTTTCACGTATTTCTCGACGTCTAAAGTGAATTGACAGTATATTTTGTGGACAAAATGCGGCGGCCAATTGCGCACAGCAGCGTCCCCACAAACAGCCGTGGGATGAAAATGACCAATTTATTATTATTAAGCCATTATTATCAATATCCATCTCTAACCGCCCCTTCAAAAGTTAGGACCTCGACACTATAAGAATCCCAGGACTTCGCTGAAGCTAATAATAATCCTTGCATTTGATGCAGCGACTCATCGCACCTTCAATATACCGCAAAGTGTAGTGACTGCGTGTTTCGTGTACCAACAAGACGGGCAGGTAAGCGGCAAACTTTGGTCAGCCAGGTGTCCCGACACCCAGAAAACCATCACCATCACGAAGAGTGTCCAAACCAAATTACTGAGGATTTCACCTTTGGAGGCAAACTTCCATTTATCTGGGATGGACAAGAGAGACGCACCTTTGCTTACCTGATCCTGGAGAGCTTAGGCACAGGATCGCCAAGAGCCGAGGCTTGAGGGAATCCCAGAGGATTACTGTAGATCTACTAGGACGTGATCAAGTTATATAAAGTTAAAACACTTGTGGAATGATACAAACAGACCGATGAGAGCGTGCGCTCCCCACGGGAAGGTCATACTGGGTGCGTCTGAACGACTTTTGTTCCATCGGATAAGAGGAGGTTTCTGCGTTCTACGTTTCTACAGGGTTTCGTGGAACACGGACATTTGTGAATGGCTCTTCCCCAGTCTTAACGGCTGGAAAGAACTAAGTTTTCCCACCCAGCACTACGCAATTTATTCTTACTCACTGTATGTTCATCTGTAGATTGAAAAGAAGTTGGGACGTCGAGTTGGACATCCATATAACAGTTGGAACAGTCGATTCCCCGAAACGACCCACAACGCCAATGGGTTCCTTGTACCTACCCATCAATTACACTGCCTTGGGACATCCTCCTGACGTGAAAGCCGCTATACAGATGTAATTTTGTTGTTGTTGTTGTTGATGATGCACCACATGAGAAGTCCAGTTGCGCTTATTTATTGAATCGCAGGAATTGTACAATACTTAAACGTCTCCTCGTTACAAGTTTCTTCCCGCAAGGATCGCAGCATCGTCTTTAAAAATCTTTTTTAAAATAAATAGTACATCGCTGGTCACATCGCACAAACTGGTATAAACGCAGCACGAGTCCTGTTGTGTTGTTGGGTCGTCAAACACACGGAAGGGATTCCAAACATTCTTCGAGGAACGTGGCATCTGTTACAAAGCAATAGGGAATGTCGTGCCCTGCTGAGGTACGAGTAAAAGTGTTGGCCAGTATTAGCCCACACCTCAGACACACGAGATCGCCTTGGGACGTCCTCCTGACGTGAAAGGCGCTGTGCAAATGTAATTTTGTTATCGCTGTGCCTTCAATGGCATTGAGATGATAACAATCCTTGCATTTGATGCAACACCTTATCATGTGGTTGAGTCGTCTCAAAGCGCTTCGCAGAATATACTGTCAAGTGTAGTGACTGTGCATTTTTTGGGCGAAACGCGCCAGCCAATTGCGCACAGCAGCGTCCCCACAAACAGTCATAGATTCACTGACATTTTTTTTCAGGGATTATTGCCTCCCGGAAAGCAGTTATGATGAGTTAAAATGGAGGGAATTCAATTATAGAGGGGGGAGTACAAAGAACCATCTCTGGAGTTTAATTCATGCTTAAACAAGAAGGATCTGCCTCCTCCACCATCTCAAAAATACCTCACTGCTGCAGAACGTTCCAGGTCAGATGGCTTAGTCTCAATCACTCTGTCTACGGACAGAAATGTCATATGAATCCAAGGATAATTAATTACAACAATTATTAGACCGCCTTCAGGGCCAGCCTTTGGAGGAGAGGGGGCGAGGGGGAGAGAGAGAGAGAGAGAGAGATAAAAAGAGTGGTGATGGGGGGAGGGGAAGGTAAAGATGACCGAATGCGTGGTTAAAGAGGTATGTCTTAAGACAGACTTGGGCAGGGAGTGGATGAATTTAACACTCACAGGTAAACGTTTGAGGAATTGACAATCTTTCCTGTGAATTGAAACATGGAAAAAAAAAGTCTGATCAATAACTTAATTCAACTTTAACTGACAATAATTTAAATTCTTACAGAGTTTCCTGAAACGTTTTCGCCTGAACAAATGTTAGGCTTTATTGAGCGCGCGATTACCGAGAGGGTAAAAATCAATAAGCATCAAGGACGTGCGGTAAGGGTGACAATTAGACAGCGAGAAAATCACCACGGTTAAGCGTTGGGGGCATTCCACCTGAAAAGGTTGCTATCAATCTTCCGAGTAGTGTGATCAATAAGCAGCGAGTTTTGGGGGTACATCTTAACTCTTTGCAGCTTAATTGGACAAGAGTAAGATGTACCCCCAAAAAGAAGTATCACGTCAGTTCGCTGAGTGTAGGGGCTGCCCTCCGTGGGATATGCTTCCACTGTACCTTTTCTCGTGCGTTTACACTCTCAATCGGGTCGGGCCTCAGTTTAGACAAAGGGCTTGAGGTTCGCCGTCCCAGAGCACCAATAGAGTATCCGGTTTTCAATCCGCCTGGTGACTTGTGCCCCGATTCCAGTCTTCCTGATCTTTTCCAGACCTTGTCAAACTCTCTTTGAAAATAAAGGCAACTGATCGACCAGCTTACAGTCAGCTTCTCAAAAGAGACTCACATTACACATGTGTGGCCGGAGTTGGAATCAGTCCGACTACACTTTTACCCCAAATAAACAGCCAGTTCCAACAATGTGGGTGCGGTTTCGAGAGGGGGAGGGGGGGTGGGGGAGAGATAGACAGCGACACCCATAGGCCTACACTAAACCCACCTGTGAACACCTTTCAGAACAGCGGTCTTTCTCTCAATGAGTTAAATCAAGAGAACTAGACAAGACTTTGGGTTTGGGTGATTCAGATTAAAAGGCACCCACTGGGGTCAGGTGCGCGAGTGACAAGTCAAATCAAATGTAGGCGTACAGTGAACCGAGCAGTGATCAGAAGGAATAGCAGCCGGTGTGCTTCTCTGAATAACACGGTCGTATAAAATACCGGTTTGAACGTGCAGTGTTTTTCGGTTTGTCTTGCTGAACGGAAACCTGCGTGAGGAAACACCGCAAGCCAGTGCCACGGATGAGCTACTGGAGTAGTGTCGTTCCGGAGAGGAGTATCCGAGAGAACATGCACGATATGTTCTTAAATCCTATACAGAGACCCTAACAGCATTGACAGCTTCTGTCTAACACTAAGCGATCCAAGTGTCAGGGGATGCCATCTTTCCGTTGGCAGCATTGAGACGGTGGAACGTACCAATCGTAAACGTAGGACAGTCTCACCTTCACTTCTTCTTTGCACAGCTTCCCTTCCCGTAGCAGCGTCTGCTGCTTCTCCAGCATGTCCTCGATGCTCTGCTTGTGGGTCACGATGTACCTGTTGTTGCAGCCTCGCGACTTGTACTCCGTGTCGAATCGAGGGTCGTGCACCCGCTTGATGTCCACCGGTGCCAGCCAGGCGCCCAGGGACACATCCTCACTCTGCCACATCTTCAGGTAATCGGCGTTGATGCGGAGGTAGTGCACCAGGTCAGCCGAGAGGACGTACCCACCGCCCAGGGCGTAGGGCAGGTAATAGTCGCACAGCACCCACGTGCTCTCCTTCCACTTGCCGGAGGATTTGACTCTCCCTCGCCCAGAGAAAAAGCCCCAGTACAGCCTCCTCGGCTCTTTCGCCTGAAGTTCTTCCTTCACGACGTCCAGCCTCACAAAAGTGTCATCGTCGGCTTTCAGCACAAATTTAAAGTCAGTGGTTTGGTCTAGCCAGGCGTACATGTGGAGGATTTTGCTGGTGAGGTTTTCGTAGGAGTCCTTGAGGTCCGGGAGCAGCAGCAGGTCGCGATAGCGAGTGTCCTCTCGCTCCAGGTTGTGAAGGTCCTCGGCCGAGAGCCCGCTGGTGCCTATGACAAAGCGGCAGAGGACCTGGGAGTCCCGGATGGCCAGCCACGTGCTCCTGATGATGCTTCTCCTCTCGGTGAACTTGGGCCCTGTGGTGATTAGCACCACTAGGAAGGCCGAGAACTCCTTCTGGCTGCTGTGATCTCTGGCCTTCTCTTGTCGCTTTACATCGTGGGGCAAATCGGAGTCTCCAGATTTCAAAGTCTCTGAGGTGCACTTCGCCAAATAGAGCAACATCAGGGCGAACAGAGACAGGCTCGCTACGCCCAGTGCTGTTTTATGCCGGCAGAATAGACGGATGAGATTCATTGTGCAGGTTCTTCAATCTCTGGATTCCCGTCAACTGGAAAGGCAAATAAATCAGATTTAAGATTGCGGTCGAAAGGAAGATTCTCTGAGATTAGTAAAATAATTTATGCCTGACAAATGGGGCGTGAAAGAAACAAGCTTACAAGATACCGACAGCGCTGTTAATAATAGTAATCATTAATAATCACTGCATTTGACACAGCGCTGTATCACGTCGTCGAGACGTCTCAAAGCGCTTCACAGAATATGCTGTCGATCAACTGCGTATTTTGTGGGTGAAAAGCAGCAGCCAATTGCGCACAGCAGTTGCTAATGAATGCATGAGCATTGGGATCGAAATGAACAGATTCCCTGTTTATATTGACCGATTTCTCACTCAGCACTCGTCACGTTTAGAGCACAAGAGCTTGTGTGGGAAAAATGGCAACTGATGCCAGGCAAATCAGCCAGGAACACAGTCGATTAAGTGCTGACCCGGGTAACACTTGCAAGACGAGAACTAAATCGATTAGGTTGTAAAATTGTTCATAAACATTGAGAGCATCAAATCGTGCTCTGTCTCGCCGCAGTGTGGAACGCAGTTTTACAGGAAGGCGAAAGATCAGCAAAGTCTAAAAGGCTTTTTCAATGTCACAGGGCATTTTGTACTCCTCGATGACACTGTCAGTGCAGATTTGCTAAAAATAAACACTGCAATTGATTATAGGGTTTGTACACATACTCCCCGATTAGCTGGTGCTTCCAATTATCTTCACTTATCTGCTCCTCCTCTCTTTCTTTTTCTCTCTCTCTACAGAAGAAATGTTTCAGCCACTTTATTTCTAAAATGGAGGGCTGCCTATTTCAGCACCGCTTTAAAATACAACTAGGAAACGCGAAGATTTGCATTGTGAGCTCTTGACATTCCCTGAAGCTATAGGTGTAAAGACAGGCAGCTGAATGCATCAAAATCGCGGTTAATCCGATCAGCGAGACGCTGCCTTCAGCAGAGACAATACCAGCTTCGGAGACTGATACGGAGCAACGTTAGTGACGAGACTTACAAGGTCATACTCCGTGCTTTTTCCACGGGAGTTAAACCATCTCAAAGTGGCCCCGGCGTGTGTTAAATGTTTAAAAATACATCTAAGCTTACCAAAAGCAAGTGTTGGGCCTCCAAGAAAAAAAATACACTCTACGGTATATTCTGTGAAGGGCTTTGAGAGGTCTCAGCGACGTGATAAGGCGCTTTATCAAATGCAAAGATTATGATAAGTGAGTGGAATCTGCAGCCGGATTAATGGCGAATGCAGATGGTTTTCTATCCCTGATTCCGGTCACTGACACTGACTCCTGGAGTATGCCAACGTGGGGCATGAAAAAGCCTCTTCCCCCCCCCCCCCCCAATGATTTTTCTGTGAGCTGTGAGTGACCTTGTTAACAGTTCAGGTCAGCAGCCGCAGCCGCAGAGTGCTGCAGTGCTCTCGAGGATTTCATCACCAAACACCACCCTCCCCCCCACCAACCGCCTCATCCATCCACCCACCCACCCACCCAACCCCAACCCTCAACCCCAACCCACCCTGTGATTTTCTTCCCGCAAAGCATTCCGTTTCGTCTCAGCACTTTGAACTATGCCCCCCCCCCCCCCCCCCCCGTGACCCGAGACAAGAAACCGTCCCTCCCCACACACTCGTCAATTCCACGGAAATTCAGAGTGAGACCTTGGTGCTGCTGCTGCTTTTTTTTTTTTTACACACGCACTCGCGCACACGCGCGCGGGAATTAAACCGTCTCAAAGTGGCCCCCCCCCCCGCTCCGCCTGCGCCAGAGTGAGACATTTAGATGAAAGAAGAAAAAAAAAAGAAAACGTGTTCCCGCCTGGGTTAACAAACGTGACTGTGGTCTTGGACGTCGCCGTAACTCCGAGCAGTGCATGTCCCCTCGATCCGAACGGGTACGAGAGAGTGAGTGAGAGAGAGAGTGAGAGTGAGAGAGAGAGAGAGGGAGGGAGGGAACGCTGCACCTGAAAGAGAAAGAAAAAGTAACGGCTTATGGTTTGCTCCTTTACCGCTCGACCGGCTCCAGCTCCGGCCCCCCCCATTGTCCCCCTGACCCTCTGCCCCACCCGTCGGCGGCCGCTAACGCCCCCGAAGCTGTGAAACTCTCTCCCTCGATCCCTTCGCCTTTGCACCCCCCCCACCCCCTCCCCTCCCACACCGCCCCCCCCTCTCTGTCTCTCTCTCTCTCACCATTTTCCATTCGTAAGACCGTAAGACCTTCCTTTTCGACTGTTACCTATGGTCACCCCCAACCCCCCAATCCAGGGTCAACCCTCGCTCCCACCCTCCCAGCCAACTCCCTGCGCCACCCCCTCACCCCCAACCCAGCCGCCCAACCCCACCCCCCCCACCCCAGCTCCCCCCCCCCCCCCAGCCCTCCCACCCCCCCCAGCCCCCAGCCCCCCCCCCCACCCCAGCCCCCACCCCCCCCCCAGCTCCCCAACCGCCCCCCCAGCTCCCCCACCCCAGCTTCCCACCCCCCCCCCCAGCTCCCCACCCCCCCCAGCCCAGCTCCCCCCCCACCCCAGCTCCCCCCCCCCCACCCCAGCCCCCCCACCCCAGCCCCCCACCCCCCCCCCAGCTCCCCACCCCCCCCCAGCTCCCCCACCCCAGCTCCCACCCCCCCACCCCAGCTCCCCACCCCCCCCACCCAGCTCCCCCCCCCCCCAGCTCCCCCCCCCCCAGCCCCCCCCCCCCCCCCCCCCCCAGCTCCCCCCCCCCCAGCTCCCCCCCAGCTCCCCCCCCCACCCCAGCTCCCCACCCCCCCCAGCCCACCCCCCCCCACCCCAGCTCCCCACCCCCCCCCCAGCCCACCCCCTCACCCCCACCCCAGCTCCCCCCCCACCCCCCCCACCCCACCCCCCCACCCCAGCTCCCCACCCCCGAGCACACCCGTCCCTCCCCTTCCCCTGAGCCAATCCCCCATAACCCCCCCCACAGCTCCATTCAACTTACCGCCTCCTCTCTCTCTCTCTCGCCTCACAGCGGCCGGAAAGATCAGGGCCGCCCCCGGGGCCCCCGCCCTCTGCCCCCCCCAACCGCCCACTGCCCCCCCCCCCCAACCGCCCACTGCCCCACCGCCCACCGCTCTCTCTCTCGCTCTCCCCTCTTCCCGCCCGAGCCCCGGTCTCCGGCTCCCACCCACTGCGCAGCCGCGGCTCCTCCGCTGCTGCCCCCTGGCGGCCCGGATGCCCCGCCCCCCCCCCCCTCGGCTGTCAATCAGCAGCTGTCAATCAGCAGCTGTCAATCAGCAGCTGTCAATCAGCAGCTGTCAATCAGCAGCTGTCAATCAGCAGCTGTCAATCAGCAGCTGTCAATCAGCAGCTGTCAATCAGCAGCTGTCAACCCATTGCCCAGGACTCGTGCTGCACCCAATCAGCTGATCAATAATCAATATTCAGCTGATCAATAACCGGCTGATCACTCATCAGCTGATCAATATTCAGCTGATCAATATTCAGCTGATCAATATTCAGCTGATCAATAACCGGCTGATCACTAACCGGCTGATCACTAACCGGCTGATCACTAATCAGCTAATCAATAACTGGCTGATCACTAACCGGCTGATCACTAACCGGCTGATCACTAATTAATAATTAGTTGATCAATAATTGGCTGATCACTAACCGGCTGATCACTCATCAGCAGATCACTAATCGACTAATCAATAATTAGTCGATCAATAATTGGCTGATCAATAATAACGATGAAAATAATCCTTGTATTCGCTGCAGTGCTTTATCAATTCTTCGAGAGTCTCAAAGTGCTTCACAGCACAGACCGTACAGTGAATCCACGCACTCGGCTGATAAATAATTATCCCAATCGGGCAATTGACTGCCGCGTTTCGCCCACAAATCACACAGTCACTACACTTTGCGGTGCATCCCGCGAAGCGCTTTGAGGCGTCTCGAGGACGTGATAAGGTCAAATGCCAGGATTATTACCATTATTATTACCATCTTCCCCATATAACCAGGAGCCCCAAACCCCACACAATAACCCAATCAGCGCCTTGGGACGTCCTCCCAAAGTGAAAGGCACTGTACGAATGTAATGTTGTCGTTGTTGTGGTTGTGGCCCGACCGTCGTTTTGACGGTTACAGTACATGTTCTAAAAAAAATAATAAATTTGCTCAGGACGTTGGCCCGCAAAGATTTATTGGTTTCCCTAAGACGGTGTTGAGGGTTGCGGACCTTCCCTTTAAACCCCTGCAGTCCCTAACGTGTGCTTTACGTGTCCCCGCCGTCGTGGCGGGTTGGGGGACTTCCTGGGCTGCGACAAATAACGCAGATGTAGGGGAGGGGGGAAACTCGGAGACGGTGAAGTTCCGCACAATGCGAACTGTTCCCTCGTTCTTCGTTCCCTTGTGTCACGTTTAATTGACCTTTGCGGTTGGTGGAGAGTTCCCTAAGAGAAAATAGAGTACGACAACAAGTCAAAAAAATTCCTCAGCTTTGCCACAGGAGGTCACTAAAATACACTATTTCGCACGCCGTCAACTCCTACTCATATTCCTGTTCCTCGGAGAAATCCAACCGTTAGCTCCAGCTCTACCCCATTTGCTTAGCATTCTCGAGCCTCCAAATCGCTCAACTCAAGCCTCAACTTTCAAGTTGGTTCTCAACAGCTCTCACGAGAAAAAAAACGGCTTCAAAATCAATCGCGATAAACAACAATCCTTGCATTTGGGGGTAGCGCCTTATCCCGTCGGAAAGAAGTCTCACAGCTCTTAAGACTTGCATCTGTTGTTCTGCTGGACCAGCAGATTACACAGCCGCACAATTCTGGTGTCACTATAAACCGTTTAACTCTCTAATATTACAGAACCTGTGTTGTTTTTTTTCTCCGGAGGAGGGCAAGCCGTTCCCTACTGAATCTTGCCATCTCTCCCAGAGAATTCCGGCAATGTGAAGCCATGCTCGGAGGGAGGGTAACAGTGTGTTAATTAAGTCAACACGGGCTGTCCGATTTGCACCCTGCTATTTTGTGGGTGATGCTGTTTCTGCAGCTGTTAGGGGCTTGATTTGGGTGGGGGGGGTGGGGGGAAGAGGAGGAGGGGAGAAGATAGGAGGGGGTTGGGGGGGAAGAGGTGGGGGGGGACATCATTGTCAGAAAGACTTGCAGTTTGCTGCTTTCCTCCCAAAGATCAGTTGAATTCCTGAAACAGGTCAAAGTGCCCGGACTTTTTTGCCCATTAGCTTGTCTCTGCCTGTCTACGACAGCAATTCGGAATCATTAGTGAGATGGACTTTCTCGTGGTTTCAAAGTTCGAGTCCCAGAGGACAAGAGCTCAGACAACTGAAGTCCCACATTGAGATCTTACTACACAACAGCTGTAGCATTTGGATACGTTCCTGGAACTTGGTCCAAATTGAAAGCTGTTCCAGTTTCCGAGCAGACAATCTAAACATTGTGAATGAAGTTACTTTATTGCCAATTTCCGAATTAAAAAATTCCGACTTTTGTTTCCCGCCCATTCTGGACTCGCTGTCGCCCTAGCCAGCCAGCCCGCTACTCTGCGCGGCAAAGATTCGCTCCGTTTCGAATTGAGAACGTACCGTAAAAGCTCTTCTGCGACGTGGGCTTTTACCCGCGTGGCGCTGCTGTACAAGTTTAGCAAGTTACCAGCATCGCGTCCGTCAGCCGGGCTCAGCTGGTGGCGCTCTCACCTCCGAGTCAGAAGGTTGTAATAAAATAAGAAGCAGAATCCTTGGCAGATCTTATAGAGCCTTATCGCGCCTTCGACAGTCTCAAACTGCGTCACAGAGTACACCGTAAAGGGGATTGTCTCAGTGTTTTGTGGGTGATCCACCAATCGACTCACAATTGGGTTCCGACTTACAGGTCGCCCCACATCAGGACTTACAGTGCTTTGCTGTCTAAGTGTGCGCGAGCCGTTGGTTCTCCAGTGGGGAGCAAGCAGCTCTGAGAATTAACAACAATAGTCCCAACGGTTCAATATCACATCGCACCTGCCCTGAGATTATTATTACTATTGCTATTTCACACACTCCTTTATACTTGTTTTATAAGAATAGTAATAATTCTTGCATTTAATAATAGCCGCCTTCATGTCGGGAGGACATCTCAACGGGCTTCACAAGATTCGCTGCAAAGTGTTGTGATTTTTTTTTATTTAAAGCAGCAAAAATATTTCGTTACGGCTTACGAATTGATAAAAATGACCACCGGGTAAAAAAAAAACAAAGCACAACACTCCACAGTAGATTCTGTGAAGCGGCATTGGATACGTGGCGCTTGAATTGCAAATCCTATGACTCGGAGGTGAGAGGGATACTGACTGAGCCAAGGTTGCCGCAAACGCTTGAGAAACATAGGAAAATAAGCGGTTTCAGGCATTCGGCTCAACGCTTCTGCGATTTGAAACGTGTACGAATGGCAAAGTGGACATATGTTTTCTTCTCAGTCTCAGCAATATCACAACCTTCGCGTTTCTAAGGACGGAGGGTTGGATTATCTGACAGGGGATCTGGTCCAAAGCAAATATACAAAAGATGAGCCGTGAGACACATCTCGGGTTCAAAGAGGCTCTGAGCGAGGGCAGCTCCTCTGCACAACTCCATTCTGACCTCATTACCAAAATACTTCATGGCTTGTTCACATTCCTTACAGTCACTATTGCAAGATCTGACCTGGAATAAACAACCCAGATTGAACATTGCTTTCTCATATTGCAATGCTGCCGTTATTATTTCTTGCTGCTATTGTTTCCCCTCCTCATTAATAATCACAGACAAGCTTTAACAAGCTCAACAGCAAATCATTACAAACAGATTAATGTTCTAGGCTTTGTTTCCCCACCATTTCAGTGGAGGACAATGGAGCATCAGCCATGAGCTATGAGCTCCAAGTCCCAGAAAAGGGAGGTTAAAGAGAATGTCTTCAGCTGCGTTCTGAAATTGGGCAAAGAGAAGGCGAGGCAG